TGCAAGCTCCAAGCATCTGGCAGTGGGGCCAGGAAAACAAGGTAAAGACATACTTCTTCTAGTCTGAAAAAGTAGCTTCAGAGTTACTTCATGAGGGTGCTCTGTGAGTCCCTCAGTTCTGACTGATTTACCTTTCATGTGCTACAGCATTACAGTAGAATAATTCTTACCCGTTGTACTTTACGCTTCTGACAAACCCAGGGTTGCTTCTGTGATCTCTATCCAAGCTGCTGCTACTGCAGAGGGGCAGATGAGGTTAATGTGCTGTCAAAGACGATAAAAGAGTTTTTTATTTTTTAGGGCTCAAGAGTAGCATTTCAAGCCTGTATTATTGATGTTAAAATTACAGCTTCCTGTCTCTGTGGAAAAATCAACTGTTTTGCAGTTGATGGTTCCATCAGACTCCTGATAGATTAGGCAGCAATTAGAAGGGTGTTAGAAAAATGAAATTGAAATGCTGTTGGTGTTTTTGGAGAGCAGACGGGCATGACATTGTGGGAGAATAACCCCATGAGTCAGTACTCATGATGCCAGCAGATTCAGGGTGTTGTACTCTGATTTAGAGTAACCTTATTCCAGATTTATTCCACTAAACTAAAGTAATTTGCAGACCTTCCTGCTGAGCTGCCCAGTTCCCTGGGTTTTTCACTGGCCAGTTTGCATGCCCAGAAGCTGTCATATTTCCAGCTGAATTAAATGGGCCATCTCCGTGCCTGGCTGGGCTGGCTGCAGTGCACAGCTGCTGTCCCTGTGCCAGGTTCTGTGATGTTGCAGTGACCTGTGTGAGTGTGCCTGTGAACAGGAAAAGGAAATTAGAGATGTGCTGGTGGTGAGGGAGGAGCTACACTGCTGAAGATGCTCTCCTTTCCTCCTTAGTCACCCATGCACAGAGAAAATTCCAGCTGAAGAGCTTGGAGGCATGCAGGAGGGTTGGTGGTTCCTATACACGTGTGACTTGCCTTGCTCTGCTGTTTGTGGCTGGGTCCTTTACTCTGTGATCTGGAGATTGCTGTGACAGTGACAGGCGGTGTCTGGGAACGGTTCCCATGTCACACTGCCAGCCCCCCTGCAAACCTGGCTGTGCTGGCTCCAGAGGTGTGCAGAGGGCTGTCAGTTGGGTGGGTTTGGAGCTGGTTTGGTGCTTTTCTGGGGAAGGCAAGGTGCCTTGAAGTCTGTTCAAGAGGAGGAAGGGGAAGTGTCTGTAGATGGGAACATTCCTTGAACAATCACAGAGGGAGTTCAGAGGCACCAGTGAATAATAGTAGGTGTGGCTGAGGTCTCTGTGGATCTTCGTTCCCTTCCAGGTGTACGCCTGCATGATGGTCTTCTTCCTGAGCAACATGATTGAGAACCAGTGTATGTCCACTGGGGCTTTTGAAATCACTTTGAATGGTGAGCTGAGACTTCGTTTGAGGGGTGTCACATATACACATGTGAGAGCTGTGGGGTGAGGAGAATGAGGGATGGTGTCAGGAAAGTTATATCCCAAATGTGGTATGTAGAAATTGCCATCCATTTGGATCTTCAGATTTCATCTATCACAATAAAATATAAAAATCATAAAAGTCTTATAAAGCAATTTATACAGATGTCAGATACTCTAGAATAGCTCTGTAAAAACTTACTCTGAGGGATATTTGATCCCTTGGAATAACTGTGTTATATTCTTGCTTTATGTGTGATGTGCATTAAGTAGGAAGCCATCAGCTAGGGGCATGTACTCTCCAATTAGATGCTTTCCCTGTCTGTTCTGCAGCATGCTTTAGGCTTGGAATCCTAAAGAATCCATTACAGTTACCAGATTATCAGTACTGGTGGACAACAGTACTAATTTTTCAGGTTAACAGGAATGTCAGGATATTTTGCACCTCTCCATCAATATGATACACTTCTAAATGGAAGCATTAGACACTCTGCCCTCCTTTCTTTTAACCTTGGGAAAAGGAGACTCAGAGGTGACTTTACCACTCTCTACAACTCCCTGAAAGGTGGATGTGGTCAGGTGGGGGTCGGTCTCTTTCTCCAGGCAGCAACTGACAGAACCAGAGGACACAGTCTTAAGCTGTGCCAAGGGAAATAAAAGTTGAGTATTAGGAAAAAGTTTTTTACAGAAAGGATGATAAAGTATTGGAATGGTTTGCCTGGGGAGGTGATGGAGTCACCATCCCTGGATGTGTTTGAAAAAAGACTGGCACTCAGGATGTGGCACTCAGTGCCATGGTTTAGTTGAGGAGTTAGGGCTGGGTTGGACTTGATGATCTTGGAGGTCTCTTCCAATCTAGTGATTCTGTGATTCCTAGTTGGGCTGGGGTTCAGCATAGCAAGAGGTTGGAAGGATTATTGATTCAGATGTTTTCCTCAGCACAGATCAGTACCAACTCACACAGCTTCCTAGAGCTTCTCAATTCCATGTTTACACCAGCTCTGCCTGTTTTTTGATGCTCCCAGTGTAATGGTGCTTTTCTCCCACATATGTTCTGTGCTAGATGTCCCAGTGTGGTCTAAGCTGGAGTCTGGCCACCTCCCTTCCATGCAGCAGCTTGTACAGATCCTTGATAACGAGATGAAGCTCAATGTGCACATGGAGTCAATGCCCCATCATCGATCATAGCCCCATCGATCAGCACTGAAACTTCTCGTAAGTCTCCTCCAGTCACCAGTGTGTTTGCCCAGGTGAGAGGGGCACACTGGAGACTGGATTGTGTGTTTGTTCAGTTAAATGTTTTTCTGGAGAATTAGCTCCCGTGGTGTTCAGCTGTCACGTGTGGTGTCACAGAGGCTGTTTGGGGAGGAGGTTTTGGGATGTGGCTCATTCTGCCTGTCTCAGAGCAGGAAGCTGGCATTCCATGAGGCAGGAGAACATGTATTACTGTAGGCAGAAGGTCTAATGTCATTGAAGTGTGTGGTGCAGAGATCAGAAATGCGCTGCCTTACGTGCCTTAGAACAGCCTCTGCACAGGGGATTAGGGTCTCCCTGGCTTTTAACCAAGTTGAATTCCACAACCTTGCGGAACAGGATGCTGTCCTGTTCCTTGCTTAACCCTGGAGAGCAGAACACCGTCGTGCTCCAGTTGCTATACTGCCCTGCCCCTCCACAAAAGCTCCACAGCTTTTGGTAGCACAGGGTTCACATCCTGTAGGTATTTTATGACAAACCACTTCCACATCTCTGTGTCACCTGTGGCTTTCAAAATGCATAGGTTATGATTCCGCATCTTGGGGCTTGCTTGATGCAGGTGTACAGCAGGTTCAGTGCAGGTGTGGCCCTGGCTCAGGACAGGTGTGGCCCTGGCTCAGGACAGGTGTGGCCCAGGCTCAGTGCAGGTGTGCTGCTGTGGCACAGGGCTGTTGCCGACTGTAACCCAGGTGTCTCTCCACAGGCGTTGGGTGGTGGTTCCTGGGCCACGTGGTGCAGACCCATGAAGGCCTGCACTGAAGACAGCCGCTGTTGGTGCAGGCTGGATGCCTCTCTTGCAGCCACGTTGTGCCTCCTGGACAAACACTCAATGAGCCCTGTTTCAGTGCTGGCTGGTCCACACTGCACAGCCACGAGTGCAATAATACTGTATAGTTTTTTTAAGACTTCATTCGACCAGTTCATAGATCAGCAATGCAGGCATTACTAATGGTAACTTATTTTATATTCATGTTTCACACAATGGCAGATTGAGTTGATACCTAATTTTTCCTTGGAAAAAGAGAAGTTTGTTTAATCTGTTGTATTTTATATGAATTTATGTTCTTTTTGTAGTTTAAATGAAGTTATAGGAGTGTCTGATATTGTCCTAAGCTGTTGAGTGATAGCTGTCTATCAAATATCTTTAATGTGGTTAAAACAGGTTTGTATATTTTTCAAAATCTATGGAAGAGTCGAACAGTGCATTATATACTGAATTATATGAGAAAAATTATATGCAGAATAGTTACATCATTTGGTGACTTCAGTGAAAATTAAGATCAGCTACTCTTTAATCATGTGGGCCAGCTCTAGCAGTTCTTCCTTGGCCATTTGAGAGATGAGCTGGGCCTTCCTGCTGTCCTAAATAGAACCCAAGAACATTAATTGAAATAAAGAGTTCCCATTTCCTGTGTGAAGTACCTTGTTTGTCACTTATGGACATTCTTGGAACTGCAATTGAAAAAACTGCATAAAAAGCCAACTTTTCAAAGTTACTGATCTTGTATTTGTCGTGTGTAGGCCCTCGAGAACCTCCAGTGCAGGGAGGGGCACATGGAGCTTGGCCTTACCCTTCAGGCACCTGCCACAGTTGAGGTGTGACCTCCCTGGGCGAAGCTGGCCAGGTGAAGCCCAAGTTAGCTCTGAGAGGCTGGGAGGTTCCTCACTGCCAAGTGCAGCACCACAGGTCTCTAAATGCCCATTGACAGCTCTGTGTTTGCAGTGCTCGAACCAGAGCCCATCCCTGGCTGCAGCTGGTACTCCCTGGAACCAAGCATAGGCGATTGCTTTGGGCACTCTGAGGGCATTTGTCACTCTCTGGACAGGGAACCACCTTGTTTTGTACCTGCAGCCAGCTGAGCTGCTGTGGGCATGGGCACTGGGAAAACTTGGGGCATTCCTGCTGGTCCCACCTTCTTGTCAGGAGTGGCAGAGCAGTACCTGTGTGGGTGACTGGAGCAAACACCTGCCTGTGTACCTGTCCCAAGCCCCGGCTTGGCTGTGCTATGTTTTTACCTTGTGCCTTAGCCAAGGGCTGAAGTGTCTACTCAGCTGGGGCTGGAGACAGAAGAGAGGCTGCTCAGGAGCTGCCTGAGCAAAGCCTTCTCATGCCTCCATCACCAGGGTGTCCCCAGTGAGAGCTGCTACTGCCTGCCCTGAGCAAGACCCATTTGGGGCTGTGCAGATCAACCCTGGACTGCCCTTTGCTCTGCACCAAGGCAGGGCAGGGCCAGAGGAGAAACCTTGCTGAGCCATGTGCAGGTGCCACAGCATCAGGGACTGTCTCTGGCTCATTTTGCCTTACACCACACACACACACCGGTCAAAGCTCCTGTGCATTTATTATCGCCTTGATGGAGCTGCGCAGCTCATCACTTATGTCAGCAGCCATGCAGAGCTCCAAGATCTTCACAGCCTGGGTCATGAGGTACATGGGAGGCTGCATTTTGTTCCACTGCACACTGGAAGGGAAGTTGAGGCATCCCCGCATCCTGTCGAAGAGCTGCAGGATCCTCACCCGGAAGGCAAGCAGCAGGAGCTCGTCCTCACCCAGCTGGGCTGGTGGAAGCGGCTGGCTGGCGGTGCCGACCTGCAGAACCAAGGACACGTGTCAGCAGAGCCACCCGAGCTGGGGGCAGGGCTTCCAGCAGACAAACCTGCCCCTGTGACAGGAGCCCCTGGAGGAAAGTAGCTGCCATGCACCCTGCCCATAGCTCTTCTCCCTGTGGCAGAGCCAGGGTGACCCTTGGGGATGTAGCCGGGGACCTGCCTGGGAGTGGAGTCCCACACTGTGGCCCCTTGAAGAGAGCTGGGGCTGGCAAGTGCCCCATCTCCGTAAGAGTGGCAGTAATATGCACACCTCCCTCCACAGCTTGCTTTTTGGGGAAGGAGCATGGGACAACATAGGGAGCATCCACCACAGGCTAAGTGCAGACGGGAGCTTCCCTGGCTGCCCTGCTCCTGCTATGGGGAGTGGCTTGGCACAGGAACAATACCTGCACTTTGGTTCCCATGTTGAATTTTGCTTGTCGCCCCATGGCGAGGAAGGAGATGAAGATCTTGTCCTGGGCCAGGATCCGGACTCCCACGTGGCGGTTCAGGGAGATGAAAATGGGGCTCAGTGGGACGTGAGGTCCTGGCAACAAGTTTGGCCACATCCACCTTCTTGCCCTGTTGCCTGCTTGGTCCAAATACTGCCCACCCTGGATACTCATATTTATCCTAAAGAAAGGGAAATGGAAGCTCTGAACTCTGTAAGCTCCTGTGGCAGAAGGTCTCATTCCCCTGAGGGATGGGACAGGGGCACAGCAGGGGCAGGGTCTGTCCCTATCTCTCAAGGCACAGCTGGGTTGCCTTGCTCTGAGGGCACCCAAAGTAGGGCCTATGAGCTGCTGAATTTGTCTATTTTTGGATGCTATTAAAAATACCCTTTATGGCCTTTGAAATGTCAATGCACAGAGGAGACAGCAAAGCTGCTGAACACACCACTCATCTCCGTTTGGGTAATAGCATGTGCTCCTGCCATCAGACTGAAACAGTGCTCGGATTTTGGCTGTCCTCCGCTCGTCTTCCTGTACTATGCAAATCAGCTGGTCTCTCTGTCGTGTAATGATGATGGCCAGGTTTCCAGATGGATAGCTGCCACCAGGTAAGGTGTTTGTAACCCCCTGCTTTGCTTGACTGGTCTGTTACTACACACTAAATACTTCTGGGTACTACTTTGGGGTGTAAAAACATATTACTCAGAGCACTGTGTTAAAGGTGTTCAGCTTCCTAGGGCTGGGTCTTGGAAGCTAGTGCTCATTGGAGCTGCTGGCTGTTCTTTGAAACCTCAGCCCAGGAGCTGTGTCAGGTTTCACTGCTGCTGCTCCTCAGACAGAGCGAGTGGGAGTGATGAGCCAGGTTGTAATAAAGTGGACTGGGACACATTTAAAATTAGTAACAGCCCTGGACTAATGCAGGCAAGTGAACTCTGTAAAGGATACAATAACTGCGAGGTTCCGTCTGGGAGCATGGTAAGGAATTTCTTTCCATTTTTGTAGTACTTCTGCACCAATTTACCCTTCCCCACCTAAGATTGGAAGGATGGAACAAATGAGAGCAGTCTGGCACAGCTGCCCTGTGAAAATGGGTACTGCCGGGCTCCGACTGCTCGGCTGACACATGCAAAGGGCTCCCGTCGCTGTCGGCCGCAGGTACCTGCCTTCTTCCCCAGAAGACTGAAATCATAGCCAAGGTCACCGAAGGCCACAGGCTCCTCCTCGTGCTCAGGCTCAGGCTCCTCCTCAGGCTGGGACTCGGGCTTGGGCCTGGGCTCCTCTTGGGGCTGGGGCTCTGGCTCCTCCTCGAGCCAGGGTTCGGGCTCGGGCCCAGGCTCCTCCTCGGGCCAGGACTCGGGCTCGGGCTCGGGCTCCTCCTGGGGCCGGGGCTCCAGCTCGGGCTTGGGCTCAGCTGCACTTGGAACAGGCTCTGGTGTCCCACCTTTGGGAGATGAGAGTTCCTGGGAAAGCTCATAGGAAACGGATCCAGCTTGCTGTGAACCTGCAGAGCACAGGGAGGGCCTCTGTGCAGCAGAGGGGGTTGGCAGTGGCCACCATGGGGCTGCCTGATTCCTCTGCTGTAACTGGGGGAGTGGGAGTTCCTGGCTGAAACATTCCATCCTGACAGTCTGTCTTGGGGTATTTTCTAACAAGGGCAGTCCAAAGTGCTCAGCTATTTCAAAGCACAGGATTATGATAAAAGATAGTATTTTTTCATTTATGTGTATACACACAACTGAGTAAAGACCAGCTTTTTGGGATAACATTTGGCTCCACGCACTGGAACTGACCATTTGACATCCCAGTGCTGCAAAAGCCTCAGTGCCCTGCTATCCTCTGTGAAAACATGCCCATATTGTAAATCTGGTTCACCTGTCAAAACTCCTCCCCTACAGCTAGACTCAAAGGCTGCTCAGTCATCCACAGCCTGGGCTAGGAATTGGTGGAGTATCCACCTGGTCAGGCAAAATATGGGTGAGCCTCATTTTGGCAGTTCCTACTTCCCAAGGGCTTGGCTCTGCCAACTTGTCCTCTCAGGTCAGGTTCTGTGCATCTCAGCTGGAAACTTCACACGTACTGAAAATCATGACAAATAGCCTCTCTGTGCTCATGTGTGAGGGATGATTTAATACAGCTGTATCGAATTTAATGAGATTGCGTATCTGACAATGAACGAACATGCTGCTGTGTAAAATCCTCCAGTTAGAAACCAGCAATTCCACTGCATGCATTGTTGAGACAAATGGAAAATCCATATGGAAATACCAACTCACCTTTAGTGGCACTCGGCTTTAAAGACTGCTCAGCCAACTCTCTAGCCAGGTGTCTCTTCTGCTGCCTGGAAAATAGAAGTGTTGTTGACACCTCATGTATCTTGTTTGGAAAGCTGCAAGTAGTGGATATCCCTTCTTTAGGAACACAATTTCTGAATCTGTTTTTCTCTCTGCTCACAATTCCAAGTAACAGGCAGCAGTGTCACCAAAATACTCATGCCTCAGCAGGAAGGAATTATGCCCACACAGATTCCAGTGAACAGACTGCCACTGCAGTGACATCAGCTCTGCTGGCAGGAGAGCCAAATATTGTAATGGGGTTTGGGTCAGGATTTTACGTGAAAGAGAAGGACAGATGCCCACAAGATCAAGAAAATAGCTCATCTTAAAGAATATTTTCACTATTCTTGTGTTGCTTCCTACGAATCTGACAGTGGGACAGTCGTTTGGTTTGTGCTTTGTACATAGTAGGAAGCACTTGCACCCTCAGCCTGCGAAGGATTTTCAAGGAGACCTACAGTTTGTTTCCAGGTATACTGGTTTGGTTTTCCTTTTCCCTGTGGCTTAGACTTTCCCTGGAGGTTTAAACTCTTGCACAAGCTTTGGGTGTCCTGTAAACAGCCTGAGAACTTGCACAGTTCTTATGCGTGACTCTGGAAACTGTAATCCAAACAGTTTATGGAGCAAAACAGAAATACAAACTTCAGCTTTGTTTCAGTGCCAGAGGTAGAAGCTACATCCAAATGCTGTCCCTTCCCACAGCTATTTTTTGGACAGTGCAGTTTTTGGCTCTACCTGTCTCTAGATAGTTCATCTGCCAGCACTGGAATTAACATTTCACCCAGCATGTGCCTCACCTCCTTGTGCAGCCTGGCAACAGAGGAGTCAGGAGGGACCAGAGAGAATCTGAACTTCTGGTGCCTAAAGCAAAGGTTTTTCTTCTTTAATCCCTCTCCCTGCAGCTTCTTAACACTCCTTTTTCCCTCAGAGCTCCCTGTGTTCATTACACAGACCTGATCCCCAGTTCTCCCAGTACCTCCAGTTCTCTTGCTCCTTTGACAGCAGCAGGTTGGCTTCAGAGCCGAGGGATTCATGGGTACTGACAGCTCTGGGAAGGCTGCTGACATCCTCGAGCCTCTTCCTCTCATTCCTGATGAACTCGTAGAGCTCTTGGCTGCGCTCGCAGCAGAATCTCTAGAAGGCAAGAGAGCGGAGCCGTGAGCACGGCCGTTCCACGGCAAACCCTGCTCATCCTTCCCACAGCTTACGTCTTCCTGGTCCTCGGAGAGAGGGACGTCCTCGGAGAAAGGGAACGGCCTCAGCAGGTTGCCACAGTACTCGCATGTTGGCTCAGCATCCTCCTCTGCCTGCAGCGATGGCGGGGAGAGCAGGGAGGAAGGACATGGGGTGCCAGCCCCCAGAACCCCGGCTCAGCACGGCCAAAGAGGGCTCTGCTCAAAATGCAACAAATGTGACAAAAGCGCCGAAGGGCACTCATGGCAGATCCATGTCTGGGATATCTTGGAGCAATTTAATTCAAAACATTAGCTTCAGGAAACCACCAAAAAGAAAAGCAGAGGTGTTGTAAATAAATCAATAAATGCTCCCAAAGAAAGGGAATGACTGTGATATTTATGAGCTGTGCTCCTTCCCAAGGAAGCTGAGAGCACAGAACACTGAGGCTGAGGATTTGAATGTGTTACAGAGAAAAATTCTTGATGTCTGCAGTTGTGGGAGTTTCTGAGAAAGCACCAGCAGACTAGGTGATACAGTGCTGGTCACATCTGACCAGGTGCAAACCAGGTTGGCAGCAGGGTGTGTTGAGTATGGATACTGGATATCCTGAAACAAAATTCCCTCACTCCCGACCTCGTGCCTCAGATTAATTCTTTGGTGACTTTGCTCTGCTAAGGGTTACAGGGAACTCTGTGCCCTGCTTGTATTCTGTGTTTGTACCTATTTATATACATTTTCTATCAGATTTAGACAAAATATTCTGCTGGGAAATTCTCAACAGAGGATGCAGCAGTGGGGAGAGACTGCACAACCTCTTGCTACCCAGGTGTGCACAGCCAGCACTGTTTCAACAGCCTCGCAGAAGAAAAACCTGTCATGAAGGGGCTCCTTTGCGGGCTCGGCAATGGGCGTTGGTTCCATGTTTTGCACATGGAACTGTGTGAACGAAGCAGCGAGGTGCGCCCACCCCCAACTGACCTCGTGTTGTACGTTTGCCTGTGCGGACTCGGGTCTGTAGGCCAGGAGGGTGGGCAGGCCCGCGAGGATCGGCTGCGGGCCGGCCGGGGGTGTCTCGCACCGCGGCTCTGCCGGGAGCTCTGTGCCCTCCTCGGGGGGCCGGGGCCAGCGGAGCCCATCCGCCCCATCGTCCGCCCCATCGTCCGCCCCTCCGCTGGGCTCCGCGGCCCAGCCCGGCCCGTCCATGCCCGGCGGCTACGGCGGCGTCTCCAGGGCGACGGGCGCGGGGCACGCCGGGAGCGCGCGGGCTGCGGCTGCGCCCTTGCGCCGCCCTGTACCGACCCCTGTCCCGCCCGGTACCGGCCTTGTACCGGCCCTGTGCCGGCCCCTGTACCGGCCCTGTGCCGGCCC